ATATGAAAACAGCAGTGCACTCAGCATTCCCCAGTGTGTGAACACAGGACATGATACAGTCCGGCATTGCCCAGTGTGTGAACACAGGACATGATACAGTCCGGCATTGCCCAGTGTGTGAACACAGGACATGATACAGTCCAGCATTGCCCAGTGTGTGAACACAGGGCATGATACAGTCCGGCATTGCCCAGTGTGTGAACACAGGACATGATACAGTCCAGCATTGCCCAGTGTGTGAACACAGGGCATGATACAGTCCAGCATTGCCCAGTGTGTGAACACAGGGCATGATACAGTCCAGCATTGCCCAGTGTGTGAACACAGGGCATGATACAGTCCAGCATTGCCCAGTGTGTGAACACAGGACATGATACAGTCCAGCATTGCCCAGTGTGTGAACACAGGACATGACACAGTCCAGCATTGCCCAGTGTGTGAACACAGGACATGATACAGTCCGGCATTGTGAACTCAGCTCAGCTGAGTCTGTGTGTCAGCTTACCATTCAGAAGCTAAAATATCTTATAAATATATAAGTGATTGAATAAACAAATAAATGAAGAGAGTAGACAAACCTTCTTTCCAAATAACAATTCCAATTTCTTCCAAATAAGGATTTCAAATAACAAACGTGGAAGGAATGAGGGAAATGGGAAAAAACCTTCAGATCTGCACAGTAATGGCTCTGCAGGCCAGAAACTCTCAAGAATGATACATCCAGGCAAAGCTCTAAGGAGGAGCTTGCATAGCCCTGAGCATCTCCCCCAAATGCTCAGAGTACGCGATGGTTTCCACAGGACCCCACACCCCTGCTGCGCCTTCCTTCAGAATGTGGAGCTCTGTCTCCCCATGCTGAGTCCTGAGTGTGAGCTGAACTTGGTGACTCTGTGGACAGCAACTTCCCAAAGTGAAAGAAGCAGAACTGGGACTCAGCAGAGTGAGGCAAGGGGTCTGATGACTTCGCAGAGTGACTGAAGAGAATGGTGACTTTGCAGAGTGAGGGCAGGGGAGGATGACTTCACAGTGGAGAGGTGGCGGCTCCATCTTTCCAGGCAGGCGGAGGTGGTATTGTCAGCAGCGACTCCTCTGGAATGAAGGGTTAAGAGGGGGTCTTCACCCCATGGCAGTCTTCCCCAAAGCAGAACCTGGCCTGTCAATAAAGCAGCCTGAGTTTTGGGACATTTTTCAAAAACCATGACCAGTACTCCTCACAGCGGTCACAAGGGGATCTGGCGACAAGCTTCACAGATGGAAGGGGACAAAAGAGATGGAATGGCAGATTTGGTTGAGGGATCCTTGATGGGTCTCTGAGACATAAGGACATTATTGAGAAAGCTGATACAATCCTAGTGTCTGCAGTTTGCGCATACTGACACGTCCATCTCTGGTGTGATAAAGGGACCCTGGTTACATCAGTTTCGCAGGTTTGATAAAGGGACCTGGGTTACATCAGTGTTAGTATCAGGGAGTCCTGGGGTAACAGCATAGCCAGCTCTGTTTTCTTACTTTTAACTCTTCCATGTAGCTAAAATTATTTCAAAGTGAAAAGTTTCAGAAATGATTTAGAAGCAAACAGTAGTAGAACTGCTGTGTGCCCTCAGAGAATGTCTATATTTAATAAAGTCTAGTTTATGATTTGCTGGGGTACCTGAAAGACCCCAGCCAGGTGTCAGAGATGGTTGGATTTGAATTCTTATTACAGTGATTCTTTGTGATGGAAATTTGAGCAAGTTTTTTAACTTCTAAATGAGAATGCCACATTCATAAAATAAAGTAATTTTATTAAAGATTATTGTAAAGATTAAATGAGAAAAATATATAAAGCATTATATACATAAAAAAGAAAAATTAATTTCTTCTATCTCCTTATTTCTGTGTCTAAATGAAAACCAAAACATGCAGTTAATTATGTGGGTATATTTGCCAAAAGAGATACAAAAACTTAGGTAGAAGAAAGGGACATTTAAATAATTTTAAACTACAGTTTCTGTTGAAGCTCTATATCCAATACATCATTCTTTTTTCTTTCACTTGGTTTATTAAGTTCATCTAGGGTTTATCTACTCAAGTGAAGTAAAATGAAATATTCCATTAGTACAGTCCATACAGGTGACCAGCCAGGTGATACAAACCCCAATCTGCTTTTTTTTTTCTGACTGGCTCTGTTTTTACACATGAAAATTTCCAAATAATTCAATTTTCTTATCAGTCTGACTTATGCAAATACAGACTTAATGTGGCTTACTTGTGACTACATTGTACTTCAAGCTTTTCCTAATGGCTGTGTAAGATTCCTTTTTCTGTGTTTGTTGTTAGGGCAGTTCTGGAAACCAACCACACTGGCATAACCCTGCATGTACTCAACTTTCCGTTACTAACTTTTAAGAGAGGTTTTTCTGTGACATAGGAAACATCGTTGATTTTTGATTATTTTATGGAGGCTTGACCTGGTCATCAATGTCTTCCCTTTATGGGTTTTATATTTTAAAATATAATAATAATCTCATTTGCATTTAATTAATTTTTTTCTATATTTTTTTTTATGAAGTCTTGCTCTTGTGGCCCAGGCTGGAGTATAGTGGTGTGATCTCAGCTCACTACAACCTCCACCTTCCAGGTTCAAGCAATTCTCCTGCCTTAGCCTCCCAAGTTGCTGGGATTATAGATGCCCGCCACCACACCCGGCTAATTTTTGTACTTTTAGTAAAGACGGGGTTTTGCCATGTTAGCCAGGCTGATTTCGGACTCCTGATCTTGTGATCCTCCCGCCTACCTAGTGCTGGGATTACAGGCGTGAAACACCATGCTTGGCTTCCAATGTATTTTTTAGAATAAGTTTACGGCTGGGATTTCATGGCAAAAGATTTGGCATATTTTAATTTTTTTGTTTTTTTTTTGAAACAGGGTCTTGCTCTGTTGCCCTGCCTGGAGTGCAGTGGTGTGAACATACCTGGCTGCAGCTTCGACTTCCTGGGCTAGGGTGATCCTCTCACCTCACCATCTCAAGTAGCTGGGACTAGAGGTGCGTGCCACCATGGCTGGCTAATCTTTTCGATTGTTATTTTTTGTAGAGATGGGGTTTCACCATGTTGTCCAGCCTGGTTCAAGCTCCTGGTCTCAAATATTCCTCCTGCCTCAGTCTCCCAAAGTGCTGGAATTACAGGCATGAGCCACTGCACCCGGCCTATTTTCATGTAGGTGGAAATGAGACCCAAGTTAATTCCAAGTTTATTTCCAAGGTCAAGGATTGAAGGGTGATGCATGGTAAATTTGAGTGAGAGTTGGAGATGGCCTTTGGAAGGAGCTCTCACATGCCCCAGGAATAACTGGGCATGGAGTAGGGGCAGAGCGACAGGAGTCACAACACACATACAGAATCAACTACACAGTGACAGGAGTGAGCCCCGGGGGTGGAATCCTACTTGTTTAAAACCACAGGAGACACTTCCGTAAGAGAGCAGCAGAAACAGGAAGTGAGTGGGGAACTGATGTGCTTGGATCTCACTACAGAGTTTAAAGATATTAGAAGTAGGCTTGACTCAGTGTCCCTTGCCTGTAATCCCAGCACCTTGGGACGTCGAGGCAGGTGGATCACCTGAGGTCAGGAGTTTGAGGTCAGCCTGGCCAACATGGCAAGACTCCATGTCTACTAAAAAAAAAAACCCTCAAAAAACACAAACACAAAAATTAGCTGGGCATGGTGGCACTCGCCTGTAATCCCAGCTACTTGGGACGCTGAGACACAAGAACTGCTTGAGCCAAAGAGGTGGAGGTTGCAGTGAGCCGAGATAGTGCCGTTGCACTCCAGCCTGAGTGACAGAGCGAGATTTCGTCTCAAAAAAATAAAAAATAAAAAAAGTCCTTTTTCTTTCAGCAGCACATACTTGAGATGTACAAATGCCCCCCTCCCCCCCACCGTAAGCCTGTAGTTTGGCAACCCCTTAAGTCTATTTTTCTTTGAAATTTGCTCAATATTTATTTAATGAGGAGAGTAAGAAACTGTTGTTTTAAAGGAATATTATTACCTCTTCTGTATAAAGTACAGGATACACTACATGCAATGAATATTACCCAGCTCGTCTCCTGTATAGAATTGTCCTCATTTTGCAGCTTCACAAACCCAGCAGACTGTGCCACCTTTTCCTGGTTTCTTCTGTTTTAAAACCAGGTGCATCGCTACTGTGGCCTGAAGTTGTGCTGAACAAGCAGAATAGGGCATTGTGAGTACGCCACAGCAACAGCAGTACAGGTCTGCACCGGCAGAGTGCGTCAGCTGAGGTTCCTGAATCCAGTTTTCCACTCAGGACACTGTGAGCCTCCGAGCTGCTGCACAGTACCCACTTCTTAATTTCTGTAAGTGGTGAAACAGCACAGACCCGAAATGTCCTCCTCATAACTCCAGCTTTTCCCCAAGGTTGTTGCTGGGAGCACCTGCCCCTGGTGCCCCCTGCAGTCCATGCCTTGTGCTGGGGCGAGCTCCAGTTCTTCAGCCCGGCGTCTGAGTACCCAAAAAGCGGGCCCACATGCATCTCACTGGTCCTTTTCTCTCCACTCGTCACGCCTCTTCCCTCCTCCATTTTGCTCTGTGTCTGGGTCAGGTGGAATCACTTGAACCTCAGAAGTAGCAAGACTCAGCCAGGTGTGGTGGCTCATGCCTGTAATCCCAGCACTTTGGGAGGCTGAGGCAGGTGGATTGCTTGAGGTAAGGAGTTCAAGACCAGCCTGACCAACCTGTGAAACCCCATCTTTACTAAAAATAACAAAATTAGCCAGACGTGGTGGCTCACACCTGCAATCCCAGGTACTTGGGAGGTTGAGGCAGGAGGGGAATTGCTTGAACCTGGGTAGCAAAGGTTACAGGTTGTAGTGAGCTGAAATTGAACCGTAATTGTACTCCAGCCTGGGTGACAGAGCGACACTCTGTCAAAAAAAAAAGAAAAAGAAAAAGAAAAAAAAGAAGTAGCCAGAGCTGAGCTCTCTCTCCTTGAGCTCTTTCTGCTGCCTGACTCGCCCACTTCCCTGATGTGTCTTGAATGAGTTGTTCTTGTGTCGTGCCCACCTGGCAGAACAGGTGCCCACCAACATTGTGTGTTTAAGGGATGTTTCACCACCACACTGCATCCCCGTGCGGACGGGGCTGGGTAACCCACAGAACCAGGAAGCACCAGGGCCGACGCTGCAGGGGCCAGGAGGAAGACCCCGCCACACTCTCACTACAGTTCTCATGTCCTGAGTGTGGAGACTCGAGACCGGCTCTGATGGCAAGAGACAGGTACACTGGGCTCAGGGCTCCTGCAGATCTGGGGATGGGAGCTCCTGCAGATCTGGGGATGGGAGCTCCTGCAGATCTGGGGATGGGGGCTCCTGCAGATCTGGGGATGGGGGCTCCTGCAGATCTGGGGATGGGGGCTCCTGCAGATCTGGGGATGGGGCTCCTGCAGATCTGGGGATGGGGGCTCCTGCGGATCTGGGGATGGGGGCTCCTGCAGATCTGGGGATGGGGGCTCCTGCAGATCTGGGGATGGGGGCTCCTGCGGATCTGGGGATGGGGGCTCCTGCAGATCTGGGGATGGGAGCTCCTGCAGATCTGGGGATGGGGCTCCTGCAGATCTGGGGATGGGGGCTCCTGCGGATCTGGGGATGGGGGCTCCTGTGGATCTGGGGATGGGGGCTCCTGCGGATCTGGGGATGGGGGCTCCTGCAGATCTGGGGATGGGGCTCCTGCGGATCTGGGGATGGGGGCTCCTGCAGATCTGGGGATGGGGGCTCCTGCAGATCTGGGGATGGGGCTCCTGCCGATCTGGGGGTCAGGGCTGTAGAAGCCCAGATATTCGAGGACTCAGAGGGGGAGCTGGAGAAGGCTTTGTCAGGCAGTAGGCATTTGAATCACCTCTTAAAGGGAAGAAATTCTTTTCTCTAAAAACCAAAGTTTAGAGAGTTCATACACCTCATTAGTAATATTTAAGTTCCTTCCAAACGATTTTATTTTGTGCCCCTCTGCGTTCCTTACAAACAGTCTCCCTGTTGTTCTTCCCACTTGAGTCTGGCCGGTGAGTTTTGTGGCTCCTCTATGGCGCAGAGGCATCATTTTCATATGATGGAATTCATTATGATTCATTAGATTTGATCATAAAGAGAGCTTGGTATCCCCTGGGGCAAGTTCATTAAAGGAATCTCTTTGGTTCCATTATGAATCATTTTCCCTTATCCAAAGGCAGCTCCAAAGATTCACCATGGGCAGGAGGCCCTGCAAGACAGATTCAGGAGTCCAGCAGCCAAAAACTGAAGGCTGTGCTGAGATTTCTGAATAAAAATATCTCAGTGTGAGAGGGAGGGCCGTGTGGTTGTCTAGTGGCGCTCTGTGCCCAGCGCCAAATGCATTTCCGAGGACTGGCTTGCACAGAAGGTACTTCTATCACTGCACATCGCTCAGGGAAGCGCTGGGTGGAGAATCTGTGTGAGCTGCTGGTGGTGGAGCTTCCCGGTGGGTCAGAGGAAATCTATCTTGCTATCCATTGAAAGATTTTAGATGCATAGCTTCTGAAAGCCACGGCTTGGAAGATAAACATGGAGACCTAAGGCACTGCGCCTGTATCCCCGCTTCCTTCCACAATTAGAGCGTCTCCACAGGAGTAGGTGCTTCCGTTCCCATTTTGACCCCCTGGCCTCTCCGTGCAGGTTTACTGAGGTGGGACATCCTCCTGGCTACTCTGCAGGTGACTTGCAATCATGACAATATTATTCATCCAAAAGCCGCATGTAAACACAAATGGACGAGAGTTGGCTAGCAGAATACACTTCACAAGAGGGTCTCTTGGTGTCATTTGAATGCCTTTTCTGCAACCTGTCTCCACTCAGAAATATCTGTAGTGCTGACCATATTTTAACACTTAGTGAAGAATGTGTCACTTGCTTCTTGCAAGAGAGTCACAGCTCTGAATCAGAAGGTTATTTATTCATCCGATGTTGTAGCTCCGGGCTGCCAGCAGGATGGGGCCGTGCTGCCAGAGGTCATCATATGGCAGGGACAGAGGGAGGGAGGGTGGGAGGTGCTGTTACAGCCCTGCAGCAGAGAAGGCAGCACCACCGCCTCTAAGAGACCCAAAGAAGGGGCTGGAAAGAGGGAATGACCTGCAAATAGAAAGGAGGGGTGTGCACCTCACCAGCTGCTCCCTGGAGAATCTCATCTCATCTCCTGCTCCTGGGATCCAGCTAAATCTTCAAGTGGGCTTTGGGGTCTCTGCACATGCTCTAAAACCCTACATTTACACACACACACATTTATTTATTTATGAACTTTTATTTTGATTTTTTTGAGACAGGGTCTCACTCTGTCACCCAGGCTGAAGTGTAGTGGTACAATCACGGCTCGCTGAAGCCTTGGCCTCCCGGGCTCAAAGGATCCTACCACCTCAGCCTCTAGGGTACCTGGGACTCTGAGCATGCGCCACCACACCCACCTTTTTTTTTTTTTTTTAAAGGAGATGGAGTCTCTCTATGTTACCCAGCTTGGTCTTCAACTCCCGGGCTCAAGAGATACTCCTGCCTCAACTTCTCAAAGTGCTGGCATAATAGGCATAAGCCACCTTGCCTGGACCCTATATATGCGTTTTAAATAAATGGATTTGTTTGTTAACATTTTTAATCATTAAAAACTTTAAGTTTGCAAAAGGAGAGGGGTTGGGAAAGAAGAGGGACAATTGTCTTTGGTCTAATTAAGTGTCATGGATGCTGTCACCATCGTTCACCTGGCTGTTTGCATCTACTTCTTTCTAATGTGGTTAAAAGCGTACTTCGTTGTAATCCCAGCACTTTGGGAGGCCGAGGCGGGTGGATCACAAGGTCAAGAGATTGAGACCATCCAGGTCAACATGGTGAAACCCCGTCTCTACTAAAAAGACAAAAAATCAGCTGGGCATGGTGGCGCGTGCCTGTAATCCCAGCTACTCAGGAGGCTGAGGCAGGAGAATTGCCTGAACCCAGGAGGCGGAGGTTGCGGTGAGCCGAGATTGCGCCATTGCACTCCAGCCTGGGTAACAAGAGCGAAACTCCGTCTCAAAAAAAAAAAAAAAAAAAAAAAAAAAAAAGCGTACTTCGTGTTTGGAAACTGTGGCCACATGGGAGGCATAAGTTCCAGTGTTCTGTAACACTGCAGGGTGAACACAGTCAGCAATACTGTATATTTATCAGAAACGAGAAGAGAGGATTTTGAATGTTATCACAAAGAAATGGTAAACGTTCTAGGTGACACATCTGCTAATTACCCTGCTTTGATCATTGTATATTGCCCTGCAACCCATTGACACGCATCCTTATTATATGTCAACTAAAAAGAAAGGAAAAAGTACTTTGTATTTTGGAATCATTACGCAGTAACAGGAAGCTGTAAAAATAATTTGTAGAGCCCCTTCAGCCACCTCCCCCAAGATCTCATTTTCTGTCACAGGGTCAAAGTACAAGGTCAAAGCCAGGATGTGGACACTGGTACATCAATGTGAGCTGGATCACACCGACCTAATTCAGCACTTACCAGATTTTACATGCATTGGACTCTCTGTGTGTGTGTGTGTGTGTGTGTGCGCGCGCATGTGCGCGCGCGTTGTCTGGTAGAGATTTATCCCGTGCTGGATTTATGGACCCACCATCACAATCAAAATGCAGAGCAGTTCCACACCCACCAGGAGCCCCTCAAGCTGGCCTTTTTCGTCTGCATCCCAAGCCCCAGTCCCTGTCCCTGGGCAACTGCGAATCTCTCCTCCATCTCTACTGTCATTTTGAGAATGCTTCATAAATGGCATCACACAATATGGAACCTTTTGAGGTTGACATTTTTCACCAAGCCCGATGCCCTGGAGATCCATCTGGGTTGCGGCGTGGGTCACGAGTCTGTTTCTCTTTATTGCTAAAATAGCAGTTTGCTCTGTGGATGAACCATGGTTTGTAAGATCTTTCACTCACTGCAGGAAATTTATGTTGTTCCCTTTTTTTTTTTTTTTTTTTTTTTTTGCTGTTACAAAGAAAACTGCCTTAAGTATTCATGCACAGCTTTTCTGGGGGGTTAGTTTTCAATCCCCTGGAATAGCTTTGCTGGGTTACACGGCAGGCACGTGCCTGGGGTTACAAGAACTGCCAACCTGTTTTCCAGAATAGCGGCGCCATTTTCATTCCCAGCAGCCACGCGTGAGTGATTTCATTTCTCCACATCCTCACCAGCACCGGGTGTTCTGACAATCTTTTATTTTAGACGTCCTGATAGGAGTGTAATGGTACTCCCTTGTGCTTTTTATCTGCACAGCCCCAGTGGGTAATGCTGTTGGACATCTTTCCATGTGGCTATTTACCATCTGTGTCTCCCTTTCAGTGAAATGTTTCCTAAGTGGATTGCTTGTTTCTTCACTGTTGAGATTTCTGAGCTCTTTTTATATTCTAGATAGAGTCTGCAAATGCTGTCTTCCAGTCTGCAGCTTCTCTTTTCGTCCTCCTAACATAGAATTTTAAAGCACAGAATTTTTAATTTTGATGAAATCCACTATTTTTTTTCTTTTGGTTCACGTGTTTGGGGTCATGTCTCTGAAGTCTTTGCCGGGACTCAGTTTCTGAAGATTGCCTTCCATCTTTTCTTCTAAAAGTTTTACAGTTTTTATTTTATATGTATGTTTATAATCTATTGTTAATTAATTTTTGTACAGTATAATTTTCAGGCCAAGAGTTTTTGCTGGCTCTTATATTATATATGTAATAGCATCAGCACCATTTTAAAAATGTGTATTAAAAGACACATATGGCCGGGTGCAGTGGCTCACCCCTGTAATCCCAGCACTTTGGGAGGCTGAGGCAGGTGGATCATGAAGTCAAGAGATAGAGACCACTCCAGCCAACATGGTGAAACGCTGTCTCTACTAAAAATACAAAAATTAGCTGGACACAGTGGCACACACCTGTAATCACGGCTACTCAGAGGCGGAGGCAGGAGAATCACTTGCACCCGCGAAGCAGAGGTTGCAGTGAGCCAAGATTGTGCCGTTGCACTCCGGCCTGGCAACAGAGTGAGACTCCATCTAAAAAAAAAAAAAAAAAAAAAAAGACACATACTATAAAACTTACCATGTTGACTGTTTTCAAGTGTACAGTTCAGGGGCATTAATTACATTCACACTGTGCTGCAGACATCACCACCCTCCATCTCCAGAACTTTCTCATCTTTCCAAACTGAAACTTGGTACTCATTAAATTATAATTCCCAATTTCCTATCCCCCCAATTCTTTGGTGACCACATTTCTACTTTCTGTTGCTATGAATTTGACAAATCTAGAGACTTCACATGAAGAGAATCATGTCATAGTGTTCCTTTGTGACCAGTTTATTTCAGTTAGCCTAATGTCCTCAAGATTCAAACATGGTGTATAGTGTGTCAGAACTTATCTCACTTTTAAGGCTGAATAATATTTCCTTGTGTGTGTAGACCACATTTTGTTTATGCAAAAAAACTGAAAGCAGGACCTTGAAGAGGTACGTGTACACCTGTGTTCATGGGAGTATCATCCATGGCAGCCAAGAGGGGAAAGCCATCCAAATGGCTGGTGTCACTTGTTTTTCAAAAGCTATCCTCCCTCCACTAAATTGCTTTTGCTCTTTGACAAAAATCCATTTGGTATGTTTACGTTTTTCTATTTTGGGGTTTCTGCTCGGTTCCCCAGGCTGTGTGTCTGTCCTCCACCCATACCATAGCCTTGATTATTGCCACTGTGTAATAGGTCTTGAAGCCAAGCAAAGTGCATTCTTCCATGTGTTTCCACAAGTTATTTGAATTGTTTCTTAATCTTTCTATGTAAACTTTAGTGTAAACTTGTCATTGTCTACCAAGCTTTGTGCTGGGATTTTTATAAGAATTGGGGGGATCAATGTGGGAAGAATGGCATCTTTCCCAAGTTAAACCTTCCAATCCTTGAACACAGCTTGGGTTTTTTAATTCATTTAGATATTCTTTGACTTATGATAACACTCTTTCTAAGATTATACACAGTCTTTTGTCTGTTCGTTTTTGTAAACATAGGCTGAAACTCAGGAAATCCTCAACAAGAGCCAAAAAAAAAGAAAGAAAAGAAACTGTGTCCAGTGATGTGAGGATGGCAGCTCACACTGACTCACGAGGGCCAACTGTGCACATTTCTGCTGGCACTGAGTTCAGTGATGGCACCTTGGTAGGGGAAACTGGCAAGAGTGGACAAATGATGGACAAATGTCAAAGCCCACCATACAAGTGGATGGATTCCATGGAGCAGGTCTGTCTTCCTTCCTTCCACACTGCCTTTCCCCTCCCCTCCCTCTCTTTTTCCCTCCCTCCCTCCCTTTCTTCCTCACCCTTCTCTCTCTTCCTCTCTCTGTCTTTGGAGGGGCTTGTTAAACACCCACCAACACACCCTTGATTATATTTAAAACATAGCTCTCCTATGAAGTAGAAGAGTGAGCCCGTGGTGAGGAGTGAAGAGAGGTTGATTCATGGGTGTAAATAGACACAGCTAGAAGGGAGGGATAAGACCTAGCGCTCCATAGATCAGTAGGGTGACTATACTTTACAATCATCTATAGTACATTTCAAAATTGTAGAAGAGAATCATTTAAAGGCTTCTAGCATAAATAAAAGACAAATATTTAAGGTGTTGGATATTAACTACACTGATTTGATCTTTTCATGTTATATGAATGTATGTGCCCCGAAAATATATACACCTATTATGTATCAATGTAAAAAACTTAGCAAAGGATAAATAAGAACAATCCCTTGTGCCTGTGCCCTGGTTGTTTCTGGAGCTGGTGTTCCCGTCGTCGACACGGTCTTTCTGGTCATCGCATTTGCTTTCTTATCTAGCATTGAATGATGTATCTATCCATCTATCAGAATAAGAATGTTGCTTGGAGTGCAAAAGAGGGGGGAAAAAAAAACCCAAACCCAAACCGACCACACAAGTAACAAGGGCTGTAAGAGACATATCCCTTTGTGGAAAATCGTTAGTGATTCACATGCCGGATTGATTTAAGTCAAACAGTCTGCCTAGCATTTAGTCATTATTAAGTGGGGATTTCTTGTATTTACATTATATTTGCATTGCAAGTGGCATTTGTCAAAAAAGAAAAACAACAATCAAAAAGAAAAAAAAAAACAATTAGAATTTGAAGAAGGACCAACAGGTTTCTAGTAAAGCTGTAGCCATGATTACCCATCCTCTTCCTCTTCGAATACAACCTTAACCATAGCCCTGCAGATGGCCAGATGTGATCCTGTTGGCTGAAATGAGATCTTTGTGTATCAACCTATGTTGAGCTATGTGGTAGTTTAGGCTGAACGTTTTTATTCCAGCAGGGAGTCTGGCAATGGAGAAAGGCTCACTGGAAGATTCCCTTGTTTGGGGAGAGAAGTTCAGCCACCCTCTCTTGCCGGCTTCCCAGGCTGGAACACGTGGGCCCCACATGGTCCCCAAATTGCTGGGAACCCTGCGATTTGGGATCAGTCCACCTGTGTTTGAAACCAGATTCTGATGGGCTTTGATTGTAATACGTCTCACTCTTCCTTTTTGTTAAGCTACTTCCTATTATGATGACAATGTTACTATTATTGCAAAATACGTTGAGAGATTTTAAAACATGGGGAAAGAAAAAACCATAGATTACCCTGAACCTTTCCCTCAAGCACTCGGAGATAGCAACTATTCATGTGTGAGTGTAAAACCTTCCGGTCTTCTCTTTCTATGCCAGGATATAATTATTTAACTGCCTTGTTTTCTCCTTTACTGCCGTTTTCCCCCAGAAATATGAGCTCATATTTTTCAGTGAACTTCCTGTTGTGAATGTTTTTCTTTGTCATAAAATCATGCTTATGTGAACCCTGGGAGATTCAGTGAAAGCCGCAAATACATGAAGTGATGGGCAAGAAGCAATGAGCACGCATTATCCACGTTTCTGAGAATAAAATAACAGGAGCTGTTTTAACTCAACTCTTGTTATTTGATTCTCAGAAATGTGAAAAAGGTGATCACGAGATTTTGGCAAAGCATTCACTGAGGAGGCTGGGGGTTACGTTCGAAGCACAGGCATCTGGATTAGAATCCTTAAAAGTGAGAGTGTTCTCAACAGCTTCGGAGGAAGCTTGGGAAGTGTCTGTTAGGATGGTCACTGCATTATGACAGAAACAAGTCTGTCTTGGATATTCTAATACAGTTCTGCCTGGAGTGGGAGAGAGAACTGGGTGTGCTTTCAAGGTTTTCACCAAATCTGCAATTCTATGATTTGTCTGAATAATCGATGATGTAAATTGTGGTTATCCTGGCTCCAGAGCAGACAGTATACATAAAGGCAGTTGTAAAGAAATTAGTTCAACCATCACAGAAGACAGTGTGGCGATTCCTAAAGGCTTTAGAAATAGAAATTCCATTTGACCCAGCAATCCCATTACTGGGTATGTACCCAAAGGATTATGCATCGTTCTACTATAAAGACACATGCACACGTATGTTCACTGGGGCACTGTTTACAATAGCAAAGACCTGGAACCAACCCAAATGCTCAACAATGATAGACTGGACAAAGTAAATGTGGCACATATACACCATGAAATACGACGCAGCCATAAAAAACAACAACTTCCTGTCCTTTGTAGGGACGTGGATGAATCTAGAAACTCATTCTCAACAAACTGACACAAGAAGAGAAAACCAAACACCGTATGTTCTCGCTCACAGGCGGGTGTTGAACAACGAGAACACTTGGACACAGGAAGGGGAACATCACACCCTGGGACAGGTTGAGGGGTGGGGGGCAAGGGGAGGGATAGCAGGGGGCGGGGAGCTGGGGAGGGAAAACACTGTCAGAAATGCCTGATGGAGGCTACGGGGGATGGAGACTGCAAACCACTAGGGCACGTGTACTTATGCAACAACCCCCCGGATGTGCACATGAACCCCAGAGCTTAAAGTACAATTGAAAAAGAGAAGAAGAAATCTGTGCCGCAGACGCCCCGTGAGTGGTGGCAATGCCGGGGTGTTTCTGCTTGCCTCTTGCCTCTGCCGTAAGGTCAGTCGCATGTGCTTAAGCGACTTTGCTTCAGGTTCCATCCTATGCGACGGCACGCCAGCCTCCTACCTACTGATCATGGAGCCTGTCTTGTGCCTTTTTCCTTTTCCCCTGAGCAACACTGGGCCATTTAGCAGGACATTTATTTCAGCCCTAAGTTGTATTATCCCTGGTAATTTGCATATGCCTGTATTAAAATGCCTCAGTCCTTTGTAGTTATTGTCTTAATCTAGTTAAAAATAATATATCTCTGTATCTGGAGAGAAGGCGGTTCTCCCGGCGCAGCTGAGCACTTGCGTGCACCTGAGGAGCGGGGATAGGGCTGCGTGAGGCTGACCTGGATTTGACAAGCACACCAGGAGGAGCCCTGCCTGCTGCCCTCAACAGTAGCCCTTGTGCTAAATACGAAACCTCTCTCTCCCACAGGCACCACCCGTCACCTGCTTCTGGCTTTGCTCCTCATTTTCCTCAATTTTCACTCTATTTATAGCTGAGAACCTTCCATTTCCCCCTTGTTGAAATACATTAGTTGCTATGGAAACTGCCATACCCCCGGTGGATGCAGCCGAATGACACCTACAATTGCAGAGCAAGGTTGGCGTCACCAGGGCTGAGACGGGCATCGTGGCTGGAGAGGGCACTGAGGGTGAAGATGAGAATAATGACAGCGCACAGCACGACTGTCAGGAGCGGACGTGGCACTCCAGGGTCAGAAGTTCTGGGAGAAGCCCCCTGCACCCCACACCACACTCAGGGCAGGTCCCATTGGAGGCCTAACCCAAACTGGACCTTTAGCTGGTACTTGCAAAAAAAAAAAAAAAAGTATTTTCATTTTGATAAATACTATCATCATTCTATTTCAAGTGAATTTTTTTTTGCACTTCTGTATGGGGTGTGATGTCCCTCTTCCCACGTTTTTGAGTTTTTCCTGACATAAGAGGGAGTTGACAGGCAGCGCTGAGCTTTCCTCTTGCTTGATCTTTCTTGGGAAACAGAATTGTTGGACAATGAACGGCCTGTGTGAGAGCAGGTCCGAGAATTCAGTGGGAAGCAGCAGGTCTCCCTCTCAGGCACCCAGTAGCCTCTCCTGACCCTTCAGTGTCAGCTCACTGGTTTTCCCCAGGTCAGGCCCTTTCTGGAGTCGGTGTTGACCTTCTTTTTGCATCCTAACCCAGCTCCTCCATCCCATGGTTCTGTTTTCTGGTCTCAGTTCTTCTGTGCACAGGTAGGTCCTGCAATCTTAACACAGCTGGGCAGCAAGACATAAACAAACATTATCCAGTGGCCTCCATCTGGCAGCTGTGCCAAGGGAAGCCCTTCCCAGGTGACCACAGTCCCCTCACGTTCCTTCTTCCTGGAGACGTCACCTCTACGTTCCAGCATGCGTCATCGTTCATGCCCCGTTTGTCCCTGTGAATTTGGCAATGCACAATAAACACTCTCACTCACTGTTTTTCTCTTTCCGAGTGACACTGGCTTTAGAGACTGTTCCTAAAACTATTTCATGCTCACCTTATTCTTCTGTACTTAGCTGCATGGTGAAGCCTCCTGCTCACGACGCCTCCATCCTGCCTCAGACCTGGAGTCAACGGTCTTCCTGCAGGAAAGAAGGCAAAGGTGTGTTCTTTAAAATTCTTCCTATAACTTTACATCTAAAAGAGACATTCATTTCTGTCAATCAACTGGAGAGAGTTTCTTCTGGAATATTGGAAACGCAGCACCCACCAGCCATGGTGCTTAAGACGAAGGGAGGTGGTAGAGGAGGCCAAGGGGAGATGCTAGACTCTACTCAGCACTTTCTCCGTGCAGAGAGGCCCCCACTGTGCTCTCCACACCATCTACCATTTAATGTTTGCAGCCAGGCTCTAAGAGAGGGGACTGTTTTTTTTCCTATGCATAAATGGGGGAAAAGTCCTGCTGGTTTTGTAGGGCTCAGAGGAAAGCTCCCCTTCTGAGAGCTCGGAAGGTTTGCTGAAAATGAACTAACAACAGGCAGATTAACAGGAGGAAGAGACATACACCTTTACTTAATGTGCATAAGCACAGAGAACAATTACCCCATAACCAGTGAGGTCCAGACACTTCTATACTCTTGGGATACAGTGTAGGGGAAGAGAAGATGGGGAAACTGATCATTTTTGAGGGGTAGTAATTTCTAGAAGGAATGGCTGGACCCAGTGCTCAGACACTGGTGCCATTCTCTTTGGAGACTGGATGGGACCAGATGATGCACCATGATTTGGTGGAAAGTTGAGCTGAGCTCCAGGTGTGGTGTGTAATTTTCAGACTCTTCCTCTGTGACATGAGAGTTAATCTTCTCTGGTTAATTACATTTCTGGGAAGGACTGAAGGTGATCCTGTTCCTCTCTGGGGACCTGGTATCTAGGGAGATAAGGAAGCTTCAGAGAATGGCCTCGTCCTGTACGTAGGGAGAGACAGAGGCTCGAGAGGCAGAGGCTGGCGGGAGGGGAGGGAGACCCCCATGCCACTCCTGCAGGCCCACACATCAAAGCACTGGGTCTGGGCTTGGTTCCCTGAGCCCCAGCCACTGTTTACACCCTGCCAGCTGGGCGGCCGGCCTGTCTGTCTGACTCCCACACTCGTCTCTCCCTGCCTGCCTGGGAGCTGCAGAGTCAGGTGGCTTCATCCACTTCTCCGTAGACACAAGAGGCTCTGGCTCCACACCTTCCTGTGGTCTCCCTCCTTCCCTAACAGGTCCTAGTCTATTTTAGTTTTGGCCTCTGTTTATTTCCTGAAATCTGGAAGTTAGTTCCTAAGTTGACAGTGAGCAAACTCCAGTAAAAAGCAGCCCCAGGCAGCGTCATTTCATTCTTGGTCATGATTTCCCCTCTTTTTTATTTTATTTATTTTTTTGAGATGGAGTTTTACTCTGTCTCCAAAGCTGGAATGCAGTGGTGCGATCTCAGCTCACTGCAACCTCTGCCTCCTGGTTCAAGTGATTCTGGTGCCTCAGCCTCCTGAGTGGCTGGGATTACAGGTGAAAGCTACCACATCTGGCTAATTTTTGTATTTTTAGTAGAGATGGGGTTTCACCATGTTGGCCAGGCTGGCCTCAAACTCCTGACCTCAGGTGATCTGCCCACCTTGGCCTCCCAAAGTGCTGGAATTACAGGTGTGAGCCACCGTGCCCAGCCTCCCTTCTCTCTTCTAACTTCTTCCTTTATAGAGCTCTTGTCAAAATAACAGGGTAATCTTTCAACACACATAAGAAAAGATGTGATATAAATCTAATATGTGAGTAAAATTCAGCCACTAAACCCATAGGTTCATGACTTGGCCGTCTGGAACGAGACATTCGACCATATGGTTATAGCTTCAGGTAGTGCCTATAATTGGAGAAACTACATTGTTAGCTGACAGTCTGGAGATAAAAATAAAAAACACAGACGCTCACTTTGGTCAGTAGAGAAAAGGCACACGGCATGTCTATGAGAAGGGCTGCACAGCAGTCCTGGGATTCTGTCGCTGACGGGGATGCACCGTGCCTTGTTCACTAAAGCCCACTAGCTCTGGTGGAGATGTAATCTGTGGCAGTGTGATAAGGACAAGACTTACCACCTAGATGATTATGCGAGGAAGAGGGTGGGTATACATGGCTCTCGGGATAAAGCATAGACCCTGGCACTGATCAGAAACGGTCTCTGTTTACCAAAATTGCTTCTTTGCCACAGAACTGTGTAGTCAAAATGCCCTTCCTACGCAAATAATAGGTTACGGCAAAATCAGCCAGTTGCTCTGTCAACTTAAATAAACCTAATTGGGCTTAGTAAGTTCTAATTCTTCCTTTTCTTTTTCCCTCCCCTTCCTCAATTCTTCCTTTTCTAAAAGGATCTTGTTACTTAATAAACATCAAACTGGCCCCACTTTAATTTATTTGGCCATTGGAACAGGGAGACTTTTGCCAACAAGGCTGTAGAGTCCCTGTTTTTGTTTGATTTTATGACAGGGGCGTGTCTCATTACAACTGAGCTGCCATGCCCAACCTAAATCTCCTCATAGATGTGAAGTTTGGGAAGATGCGCCAGGTCCCAGGTTGACCTCCAGTGTCCTCCCGGGGGCGGGGGTAAGTCCCCTGCCACCCCTAGTAACTGGAAGTCACAGTCAGCTAAAATGCAGGAAGAGATTGGAAAGTCAGGGCCACTGATTTGCTTCAGGGGAAACCTGTCGGCATTCTTAAGTGTACCACCCCTTTTTGGTAAGAAAAGGCAGTAAATGCTAATGAATAATGAAAAGGAATGCTTATCAGCTTTTCATCTCAGTGGCTGTTAAGGGACTTCAGGACTTTGCGAAGATGCTGGAGTTGGGTGAAAGCTGACCCAGAAGCAGCAGCCCCGCCAGCCCTGCAGCCGCCTCCGCGAGGGCCACGTCACCATCCACAGAGAGCTACAGAGATGGACGCCATCTTTCGGTTGTCATTGCTCCCGTGGCTTTGCGAGGACGTTCTTGTGTTTTAGAAGAAAGCGCATCCATGTACAGGAGGAGGAGTCATTCTCAGAATGATTTACTCAGAGAGCTTAGGTGGGGATTACCGAATGTAGCAGAAAGTGGAAGGAAATGCCTTTCCAAATATTTCAGGAAAATTCAAACAGGGCATTTGGTTTGCCTTTTCTCTTCAGAGGCTGAGAACTGTGTATATTTAAAATGAAAGGTAATTCATTTTAAATGAATCAATTCCAGAGTCATTGAAGTTAACCCATCAATTTGTTAGCGTGTCTGTGGATGTCCAAATAGATATTAGGGCAGGGGTGTCCAGTCTGTCGGCCTCCCTAGGCCACACTGAAAGCAAAAGAATTGCCTTGGGCCACGTGTAAAATATTCTGACATTCATAATAGTTGATACACTGAAAAAAATCACAAAGAATCTTACGATGTTTTAAGAAAGTGTACCCATTTCTGTTCGGCGTTATTCAAAACCATCCTGGCTCACAAGCAGCCTGCAGGCTGTGGGTTGGACAAGCTTGGTTTAGAGGTTTTTTACTAAAAACATACACACACATTAAAGAAAAATTAACTTTATGGTGCCATTAAAAACAATTTTCTTAGGGAACTATATACACATTTTCCTTTGCGTCTTTCTGCTGAAGCGTTGCCAGGTGTGAGCCCACAGCGCTGCTGCTCGGACGGCCCCAGGTCTCCAGGTGGCCTTGCAGGCCGGACACCGGCCCGCGTCTCCTGCCGTACGAGAGAGCCCGGCATTCCCCAGTCCTCCACCTGTGGCTGGGCTTCCTCAGAGTGGCTGCGGCTTTTCTTTCCTTTTGTGTCTTTGCTCATTCCACTTTCTAAGTCCAAGAAAACTCAGTGGTTAACTGTCCAACATATGCAAAATTACACCTCCTAACTGAGCTTGAGTTGAAATATGATTACTTTTCAAACCAGTTGAGGGGCCTGTTTCTAACTATGACTCTTGTAATTCACTTGATATTTGAATGTTTTTTCTGTACCTTTTTTTTGGCAGGGTGGGCGATGGGGAAAGACAGAGCCTCTGTCACCCAGGATGGAGCCCAGGCTGGAGTACAGTGGCCCTATCTGGGCTCACTGCAACCTCTGCTTCCTGGGTTCAAGCGAGTCTCCTGCCTCAGCCTCCTGAGTAGCTGGAATCACAGGCACCTGCCACCACCACAGCTGATTTGTGTATTGTTAGTTAAGACAGAGTCGCGCCATGTTGGCCAGGCTGGTCTCAAACCCCTGACCTCATATGATCCACCTGTTTCGGCCTCCCAAAGTGCTGGGATTACAGGTATGAGCCACTGCATCCAGCCTTTTTCTGTACACTTTTAAAGATGATTGAAACATTTAAAATAATTGTGTCTAATGGACAGATATAACAGTGGATTTAAATAATGTTTTAGAGAGTCGAATGGGACAAATTTGTACTGAGAGCTTAAGTATCTGTAAAAATGTGTAAATATTTAGAGATATTAATGTTTAATATTGAAAAAATTATTGCTAACAGATTACAGGATGAATGCATTCAGCATTAAAAAAGGGATCACCAGTAACGTCCCCCTCTTGGCTGTATCTGGATAATTTCAGTTAACAAAGAAGGCAAATACATAGAAAATTGTTGTGGATTTGTCAGAAGACTGACAGTGGCGGGTAGCTGAGTCTGAACTGGACCCAGCTACAGACGCACGTGTCACTGTGACAGATTTCAGAAACTATTTACTGTGGAAAGTTGGTGTGTCAGGGAGAGTCACACGTGTTCTTTAAGATAGCGTGTAGGGTCAAGTAGTTTGGAAAATGCTGGCTGCTACATAGTCTCTTAGGGATACACAAGGCAATTGAGCATATTAAAGATTTTGAGAAGTCCTGTATGAGTACCAGCCAGTAGAAACACAAGGTAAATCACAAGTCCCACTGCAATTTCCTCATAACGACGCTGATAAAAGTAAAAAGGGAATAGATGAAATTAAATTTAACGGGTGTATTTAACCCAGTGCATTCAAAATCTTATCACTTTACTATGTAATTAGTAGGAACACATCAATGAGGCATTTTTAACTCTGTTTTTCACGTCAAGACCGAGAAATCTGGTGCCTGCATTTAATGAGCATCTTTTTTAAAAACAATTTTTCATAGAGATGAGTTCTCACTCTTGCCCAGGCTGGCCTCAGCCACCCAAAGTGCTGGAATCACAGGCAGGAGCCTCTGCCCCGGGACTTACGAACATCTTAATTCAGACCCGTACGATTCACAAGACACCCTGGCTCCGTGGCTGCATGCGGCTGCGTTACGTGTGGGGCGGGACACGTTTTCTTGAAGAAATCTGTTCAATGCCCTTCACTTCCTCCATGTCACAGATGTGTCTGGCTTTAGAAAGCTCTCCCATTCACAGCACAAAACCCTTTTTGATTTGGAACCTCCGGTGAAGCCTCATCTCCCCAGACCTGAGGATACTGAGCAGCCTGTTTTTGGGAGGGTCACTGAGTGTCAGGTCCATGTACGAGGTAGACACTGATCCTGCAGTCTGCCCGACGTCCTCCTGTGTAGCCCTTTTGCTCTTTAAACATCAGCTGCTTTGCTAAGAAACTCGGTAATGCCCAGCCTCCTCCAGTCATCCCAGGGGCTTGGGGACAAGCTCCCTGCCCACCCCAGCTCCTTGCTGTATGAGCACCAACTACACGGGATGAACATGTCTCTGTTCTCATGATAGTTAATATTTTATCTATTTTTCACGGACAGCAATGACCAAGCCCATAAGAGGATGCTCGTGAGGAGCACATAGAGCTGCAGCTTCTCTGGCTGCGAGGCCTGCCAGCTGCATGGTCTTGTTGGAGCCAAGGCCTCTGGGCGGAGGAGGTGGGGAGATAGGCACCCTCAACTCCCTCTCCAGTTCGAAAGTCACAGGACACTGGAAACACAGTGGCCTCTCGTCTGAACGGAACTCAGTCTCACTCACAAAAATCAGGTAGGGGCCCGCAGCAGGAATAAATGCAGCCTCTCTGGGAGCTGGCTGCTGAGTGTCGGAAGCAAAGTGCTTGCGATGGGCCTCTCTGGAAATGGTCTGAGGTCCTAGAGGTAGACTGAACGCTGGGAGGCTGCGCCCCCAGAGGACGTGAGAAATGAAGCCACAGAGGAAATTGGTTTCAGTCCTGACGCGGTTTCTAAGGCGGTGAGGTGGGGCCGGGAGGGGAATGCTGAGTAATAAGATTACTCAGAGTCACTAACGATCCCGATTCAGTAATTTTCTGCTTAAAAAGGCACTTCGACCTTTTCCAAACCCAGATGTATGCGTCTTAATGGAAGGCCGCTCCCATGCACAGCGAATGCAGCCTGGATTTATAAGGGAAACTCTGATAGATTCCTCGGTTGAGTGGGAGGGATGCCCTATTTATTGGGTAAATGATCTATTTTATATGGCACTCTATGTACATGCACATAATGCGTAAATTCCGCAAAACAGTCTCAGCATGGTTAATGAGCATGCCTGAAGGCTAATAAAAAAGTGCTTAACTAGTTCTTTTATTTTTTTCCCCTTTATGCATAACAGGCTTTTACTTAATAGCATAAATCAAACTGAAGGATCATCTGTATTAAAACTTTAATAACTTTTTGGGGCTGTGTGTATGCATAAGGTAAGGTGTTGAGGGGGCCGGGCATGGTGACTCACGCCTGTAGTCTCAGCACTTTGGGAGGCTGGGGTGTGCAGATCACCTGATGTCAGGAGTTGGAGACCAGCCTGGCCAACACGGTGAAACCCCATCTCTACTAAAAAATACAAAAAATTTGACTGGTGTGGTGGCGCATGCCTGTAATCCCAGCTACTTGGGAGGCTGAGGCAGGAGAATTGCTTGAACAGGGGAGGTGGACGTTGCGGTGACCCAGGATTGCGTCATTTTACTCCAGCAATGGAGCAAGACTCCGTCTCAAAAAAATTAAATATATAGAAAAATAAAAAAATAAATTAAAAAATACATAAACAAATAAATAAATAATAAAGTGTACAGTCTATAAACAGTGTTCAGATTGCTCTGAGAAGAGAGGCTTACCATTTACCCAATAAATAGGGCAGTGTCATTTTCAGGATTCCTTCTTAAGATGAGTCTAAATATTAAAGAATATTGCAGTTACTTAGGTGTTTTGCTTTTTCTTCAGGGTCAGTGCCTGTGTGGTGTATCAGCACAGTGAACACACATTCACGCTGAGAGAAGATGTGAACGTTAGACACCCAGGGCTGAACTACAAGTGGGCTAGTAACTAGCGGTGCCGTCTGGCTGAAGTCCATTAGCGTGTCTCAGCCTCGTCTCTTCAATGGGGACACCTGCAGGTCTACTCTCCATTTGGCAAGAATCCAGTGAGATAGATGCAAACCACTAGCGCTAGGCTGACAACTGGTCAACCAGGCAAATGCATGCCGGTTGCAAACCAGGGCAAGCAGCAATGCAGACCCTGAATGGTATGAACATGAAGTCGGAGTGCCTGTAGGCTGACGGCCACAAGGGCCTCATCGAAAATCTTACAAATAGCCAGTGACCACATGGAAAGGTCTTCAAGATCGTTCAGCATCAGAAGCGTACACGTGGAAGCTCCTGGAGACAGATACGCTTCTCACCTATTAGGTGATAGTACTACGTTGGCTACTATTGAAAAAAAAAAACTATCAAAACAGCAGGTGCTGGTGAGGATTCTGAGACACTGGAACCATGCTGGGAAATGGGAACATTCCTGGTGAGAATGTAAAATGGTGCAGCCTCTGTGTCAAAGACTGGCAGTTTAAACCATTAAACGTAGAATGACTGTATGATCCAGTCACCTCACTTCTGGTTTTATGCTCAAAAGCACAGAAAGCGGGGTCAGGAACGGACTTCTGTCCACCTATGTTCCTAGCAGCGTTATTCGCAACAGCCAAAAGCTGGAACCAGCTCAAGGTCCTGTGGTTGTCCGGGGTGGCGGTGGTGGAAATGGGGGTCAGTGTTTAGTGGGGACTGAGTTTCCATTTGGGATGATGCAACAGTTCTGGAGCTGGATGGAGGTGGCGTTCACACAGCAGTGTGAATACGCTTCATGCCACTTAACTGTACATCTGACAGTGCTTAAGCTGTAACTTTTATGTCGTGTATGTTTTGCCACAAGTTAACAACAACGTAAAGTACAATTAAGTTTTTTCAGGTTTCAAAATACCGAGTAGTGGAAAGCTTCTTGGTGTTTTCTCAGTAGTAGTCTCTTTCTTCATTCGTATGTGGATCCATTCATTCTTCTGGTCGTAAAGACCGTCCTGAGCTCCTGTCACGTGGCAGCTATCACAGTAGGCAGGAGGTCCAGAAATAAACGCTGTGCGGGGCCTGATCTTCCCATCTAGAGTCCAGAAACCAAAATAATCCTAGGAATAGATTAGCACAGGGTCACACGGCCAGTGCATTTCATGTAGAAGGAGCATTTGTAAGATGCTGAAAAAAGCAGAGAAACACAGGGGTGACAGAAGAAAAAGAAATACATTTTATGTCAAATCAATAGGTGATCATTTTTTCCTGTTACGAAAAATAACTGGCTTATGTTATCATGTCTGCCATTTGATTTACATTTTCTAATAACAAAGCCTTCCTGGATTGCTAAGGATGCTAAAGCTGGTGTAACCTACTCCCTACGGCGTTTTGCACATGGAGAAACTGAGGCCCATACAATTGAAAGGCAGAGTAAACATTTACACAATTAAATTACTGACATACATGTGTCTAGAATCCAGGTTTTCAGTGACTGACATTTTTCTACATTACAGGGCCTTTTCCAAGCTGGCCAGACACCTGTTCCCAGTGTCCCAATACTTAGTGATATGTGACCTCATATTTATGGAGCGTTATCATTGAGCTTTTCCAATTATAGTTGTGTCACTAAGCCCTGCTTCTTATTAGGGGGCTAGGTACATCTTCTTACTTCTGAAAAGGCAAAGGACTTCATTCTGGTTAGGAGACAATCAAGGCCTGAGGTCCTGACATGAAGCTCAGACCCACTTCCTGGAATGTAAATGTGCCCATTCATTTATTATGCATCCACTTAACAAGCCATCAACACAAACGTTGTGGACTATTAAACGCAGCTGGGTTGTAGTAATAAAATGGATGGGTGCGATTTTGCCCTTAAGGACCTTACAATCTGGTGAAAGTAAATTCCACCTTTCTAATTGGCTACTGAAACATAGGAAGTGAAAGAGGAAGCAAGCCAGCTGCCACGAGGAAAACAGAACAGATGTACCCAGAGAGAGTTAATCCATCTAAAAAAAGCGAAATCATACACGCACACACAAACCCAAACCCCAAATACTACTCATAAGGGCTGCCATGACACCAACAGAAACAGGATTTGGAAGGGGCTTTTAAAGGATTCATTCAGAAAAAATAATTTTAAAAGAAACTTTGTTCAATATTATGAACTTTATT